GATCAACAGTCGAACCTTATTATCTTGAAGTCGACGGGGTCGTGAAAAAATTCGAGTTATCCGAGTATTCTAGTTATGCGGGTTCATAAATTTGATTTAAAATGCTGTTGGACATAGCACTAACAGTTGTTGATTTCAATCAATCAATCGATGAATGATATACGTAATCAATATAACAAATACAGGTATGTAATTTTACAATAAACACGCTTACAAAAATATTGTAGGGTGAGTTATTTCCAAAAATCGTACTTTCGTTTAATGCGATCAAAACGGTTGGACCATGTTGTGATTTCGTTATTAAATATGGACGGGCCTAGTGCTTAAATTTGTTTTTGGCTAGTCTAGAACTTGGCAAAGTATTTCCTGGTCTGTATTTGTATTTGCAAGTCCGTCAAGTTTTACTTCTAAAGTGTTACATTTAAAAATCGAACTATCCCGCTGTCTTCGTCCTCGACTATTCAATGCGGACATGAAAGTGCGCAAGTATAAGACAAATCACTGTGGTGGAGCGTACGCATAGTTGATTCTCTAAATGAAAACACACCCAAACATATTATATCGTACATAACACATTAATTCATTAAAGCTGAATGTGACACCTGACACCTCCTCAACTCGATATAACCAACAGCAGTTATCGTATTGTTCTTAAATCTCGCGATCGACTTCCAAAGCCATACTGGCTCCTTTAAAAACATGAACCCGTGAAGCTGTCGTATGTTGTGATTTTAACTGGGGAACTCTTTTATGCATCACAAAGCTTTGTGACCAATTTTCCGGTTTGCACTGTCGTCTGTTTGGGTGTACAAATACTATTGATCAACATTGATGAGGTTTGTTTTTATTATAAACAACATGGTTTAGTCAGTCCGCACACTTTACAGTCTGAAGCTGTATCGTACATTCTTTTTACCGATTTAGTCTACTCGCGAAAAATGTTCATAAACACGGAATGGCGAGACGTCGTACTGTTGCGTTTTATTGGTATCAAAAAATTAATAAGTGACAAATGAAATTCGAACACAATGAGGTAGACGATGTTTTGATGCTGGATTTACGCTATTGAAACCAATATCTTACTTCGAGGTATCCGAAGAGTTTTTCGACTTTGCATGGTTCGAATAATCATAGTTTTATTTACTAAGATGAAGAAGAGACTTGGCCAGGACTGGATAAATACTTCGAAAAAACGGGGTCTTTCAGTTAAAAGAGTTCCAGATAACGATGTTCGACTGTAAATATATTCATGGCGGTTGATACAACTGTATACGTATTTAGGAGCTATATGGTGCACACACCATACACGGGAAGGATGGTAAATCCGTACACATATTTGATAACTACTTTTCTATATTTCTGGATCCAATTACCTACAAAAAGCACACACGATTAGCTAGTTTACTTTAACAAGATTCAGACAGTAATTACGTCAGTTATACAGCTTTTCTTCAAATGACCGCTACTTTAGTATATGTCAGCAATGTGCGAATTCGCTGACTGGTCATCTGCCGACTGGTCATCTGCTGACTGGTCGGCAATGAAGAACCGCGGTTATAATTCTGAGCGTAGTAAATCTCTCAATTAATCAAAGTATGCGACTTGCACCGTCAAGTTCAATGAAGCATTGCAAAAAATAGTATAATCAACACTTTTCTAATCGTGGCATAAGTACCTGTAATGTTGACCTTTAAGGAATTAAAGAAAAAACAATATTGTTGAAATATGGTTTGATTTTAATCATGGACTTAAATGACTGCATGCATATTCCACTACGTACATTTTATACATTATTATGGTAGTTTACTGAATGTTGCTTGAATGATAGAAGCGGCAAATCAAACTGGCGTGGAAATGTTTTTCGTTATTTTTGTTCTTAAAACAAATGAAACAGCAGTTTCCGACGCTGCCGTGAATTGTTGTTGTTGGTTGATTGTATTAAAAAAAATAACGATCTTACATAAACAGCATTTCAACTATCACAACCTAGAAAAGTTATTTTTATTTCAATGTTAATCATTGTTAAACACACACATTTGGAGCTGTTGGTATCAGTACGACTTATGTAACATCAACATACAAAATGTTACATATAGACACTTACATTACTTGCATATTAATGAAATGTTTCCAGGTGACAAAACTGTAACTTTGAGCAAACCACGGAATGCCTGGCGTCACAAATGTTGCTGCATGACGTCATTCAGACGTGGTTACAACAATGTTTATATAGAGACATTTTAGTGAAAATTCTTCTGTATTGGTGAACGTCGGCATTTTGATACTTTACTAATGTGACGAATTTGCCTTCATTAACATAACATGAGCTTGGATACAATTGAATTGTACAGAACCGCGATTCTTACATAGATCCCCCTCCCCAAGATACGTATATATGTATACTACAATTCTACACTCTGTAGGTCTCTGCCCTACCCCTTCCTAGTATGGCGGGGGTAATCACTAGAACAGTTCTTTCGATTTTGTTGTTGTTGTTTATCTGAGATAAAGTGAAGAAGAATGTATGAAACAAACCCCTCTGTTCACATCTATTTCTAATGTAGCGGCATTAATGACGTGACCTACTTCAAATGTAGGCATGCTGCCAAACTTGGCAAAACAGTGAAACTGGTGACTTCGCTTGCGTTGTGTTTGTTACTAAGATGAATCCTATCTTCAATACAAGAGAGTTCCGAAATCGTAACCTACGAAATCTTCATAAGTTAAGTTTACGACGAAATTTAACTTCGCGTTAGTAAAACAGACGCTTTGTAACTTAAGCTGTGCTTACGAAATTCTTAAATTGGATTTATTTGCGTACCTTAAGTTGCTTAGTAAAACTCAGCCCCTCGGTTTCAGTAACATTATCAACAGTAATTTATTTACATATTTTGATGGCACTTATACTGGAAATACTCCAATTATTAGATTACTCCGTTAATTATTTTCCGAATAAAAACATCAAGTGTTAAAGCAAAGATTTAAATTATATTCTTTGGTTTAAACACGTAATCAGATATGACGGCGGTTTGGTAGATTGACTGAGTTAGCTATAAGTGTGATTTGATCGAATACGATGGACCGGTACTAAGGTTAAGTGGCATCATTGACCGTCCTTGCGACCGTATAGGGCCGTGTTTGTTCCGAACGAATATACAGCCATTATCGGTCGCTATGCTATATATGCGTCTAGCTAGCGGGCGGTCAGCGTTCGGACACAGTATGGAAACCGTTTGTCCTCCGTTCAGTTACAAAAAAATAGATACTTGACCGTGATTATAACTGCACATAAAATCGGTGTGAATGATTTCTGTGGCGCCCCGTGTACATGTAAAACTGGTTCTAGACCCCCTGGAACCCTATAATCCATAATTGTCAAAAATTATATAAACTAGGTGTAAATGACCTCCCCTGTGCGAGGAATCTTTCAACAGTTGGTCACCTGGATCAATTTTAGTTTACCTCCCTATCCGCCAGAAAGTGAAAGTTAGGTAAAATTAAGGTATTCGTGAAAAGGAATAACGAATATCTGTCGGACTGATTGTCAAAATGTTGAGTTAAACATGTCATGATTTCAATATTCTATACTTATATTTTAATATCAAAAGTGATCAGTTGCAATAAAAAGAAAACAATAATAAATACAATAGATCAATTAAAATAAATAGCAAGCATACATTCGTCCAATAACGAATGGGGCTACAGCTGTTTTCTGAATTATATGTTTGCAACGCAGTTGTTAAATTTGAGCTTTGGCGGGTTGCTATGCCTATTTCCCCAACACTTTGTTACGACAGTGCGCGCGTCCACTGACCGTGTACTGTTATGACGCGTCCTCAGGTAGCTCTATCGGAATCCCGTGTCTAAGAATGGATTATTGTAAACAGACGAATTTAAGGCCATGGCTATTAATGCATGCGTTTAACGATAAAGGTTCATCGCAATGCTTATTTCACGTTATTTATATTGATATATAACAAAGTATACGCTTATATGTAATACAATATCGTGCAATGTATACGAAACAGTTTTGAACGGATTTCATTTTCATCACTACTACCTGCGTTCGGTAAATCGGCAGCATTCACAATGCGTTCTGAGAAAGTATCCCAGCTGTATTGTGTAATTGATCTTCTGTCATATTCATGTTGTCAAAATCAATTTCATTGGTGTTTACCACAACATTACAGAGTCCTGTAAGAAGAACGGTTAATTCATCTGTGGTCACCTTTGAATTAGATTTCAATGCCGTCATATCTACTGTTACCCCCTGTTTCAGTTTTTGGCAATGTATGCGTGACTCGCAGCATCGTGTTCCCTGGGAAATCAAAACACCTTGACTGACAAAGACCTGCAAACTTGCCTCTGACGGAACATTTGTCATGCCTTTACCCGTTTTCTTGCAAAACACACATCTTGATTTGGTTCTTCCAGCAAAATTACATTGGTTTTGGAACTAAATGTCCTACATGTGTATTGCACCCCTTAATTTGTGTTGCAGTCTTTCTACATTTCAAGCAGATGAGGCTGTCCTCGCTGATAACTTTTCCCACATTTTCGGTAAAATATGTCCGATAAAAACAGTTCATTTTTCTTGCTTGGCCTGTTTTTTATTCTGACGCAACAAATCCCACATATTTGGTATTTCGGCATTATTTGTTGGTGTTTTAGCACCAGATATAATTACAATTGCCAGTTGGAGGGTAAAACAATTCATAAATTTCATCAAAAATAGTGACTTACCTACAAAGCGTAGCTGTACTGTACACTTGTACAGGGATTTGTTGACATGCTTCGATAACGAAAATGTTTTACTCCTTAATTCTTTTCCCGTTCTCATCAATGCCGACTTAGGGAAATATGGGTAGTTTTCCGCCATACCTCTTAAAATAGAATACCAAATTATTTGCATTTATAATAATGCGTGTTTTTTTATATGCCAAATTAAACGCCGGGTTAAAGGTATAGTGACCTGTATTGTGTTACAGACATCACGGACCATGGATGTATATACACATCTACACTATGCCGCCAGGTGGGGATACCTCGATAAAGTAAAGGAGCAGGTCAGTTCTAGGGCGGACCTCGGGGCAACAGATAGGAACGGATGGACACCTCTGATGACTGCCGTGAAGGCAGGAATAAAAGATGCTGGGGCCTTCCTCGCCAATGTGGTGAACGACGAAGGGGGCAATGTGTTACATCTGATGGCGTTATTTCGTCTGTGACCACAGGTGATACAGGACATAGCTGATACATGTCCTAGTGCGTTACAACAGGAGGCTAGTGACGGGCGCCGACCGATAGATATTGCAAGACGCAGAAGTCAAGGTGTTTACGACATTCTCAGTAAGTACGCTCAGCCGTATCTATGTTGATCCTCACTTATTCACATATTAATATATATTACTAGGTATGCAAACACTAACTTATTAATAAAGAACACCTAGTGGAGTTTAAATGTGAACACACTTCTTAAAGCATTCAGTTTTTTATGCAGTTATATTCAATTAATTTTATTTGTTTCATATATTACAATTATTCATAACAAAAAACGGCTCGTTCGGATCTGTCTATAATATTGTTCATAATTAAAAGTTTTTAATGTGGTTAAATAACAAATATTTATTATTATTTTGACAGTAAATTGAAATATCATTTTGAAATTGAGGCGTGCTTAAACCCTGAAAAGAATGAAATCAGGACATTATAGTATATAATGCGTGTTGTGTTTCCTGCTTTTCACGCATTTAAATATTCTAATGTGATATCTTCTCTACTTTCTGTATCGTTGTTAAATGATAGAGTAGAGGTATAGACGTGGTGGATTTATTTTTATTTGTATTGGATTGTTTGTGAATTTTCGGAGCAATGGATTCAGTATATAATAAACTAATCACGGACTTTTGTGCTGTAAGCGATGTATTTGAACTTTCATATCCTCGGCGATAGGACGTTGGATACGGCCAGTGGACATATGGCACGGACACGGCGCGCGCCACGATACTGTGTTGTTAATTTGTGTCTACCCTTATTTACAAATTGTCTGGTATCACAATTTGTTTAAACTAGCTAAACTTCTGTCTTGAATACTGTACCTCTCGATGAAACAATTGCAAACAATCACGGAAAGGCATTAAGATTTGTATTTTGAAATTAGCGGCGGTATATCGTGATTAATAATACTGTCGCAAATTGAGTTTGACTGGCGACGCACAGTAGAACGGTTATTTGCAACAATATTATCACGATATCCCGCCGCAAATTTCGAAATACAGTAATGTTTTCCCCATTCTTATTCATATCAGCCATAACCACCAACAAAAACGTCGGTTTTAAGATATTTTGGAGTGTTTTCTTCAAATTATGGACGGGATATAATGTCGCAACTTATTTTGTTTGACCAATCAAATGTCGTGCTACATCTCAAATGCATTGGAATTTACAATTGAGCCAGTTGTTCAGATCAGTTGGTAAGATCAATAATATAAAGTTCTGAGGTCCGGGGTTCGAGACAGGTTCGGTCCTTTTTTTACGTGTTCCCCTCTTTATTTCATATCTTTTTTTTTATTAAAGTTATATAAGGTATGCATCTTTCACTTTGCAGAAATAATTAATCAAATGAATAGTCATAAATAGCCTACGTTACTGCACCCATACGGGTTTCGTCTCACTGACGGAGGTCGGTGTTATGTCGTAGTGAGGAGAGTTGCCTTCTCTCTGGAGAAGGGGGTTCGGAGGTCGCCTTTACTTTATCATATCCGTTTGATTTTTAAAAAGTAATTTGGGAGACGACTCCTTGCTCCGAATGGTTGGTAAATTAATTCTGATTTGTCGCTAGCCGCATTGCATCAAGATGTCTAGTACGGCACGAAAGTAGGAAGAGGGCGTGTCTACTGTCTACCATATACAGACTCTCCGGTGGCTTTAGCCCTTCTATATTGTGTTTTGGTTTTGTTCTATATTTGGAAGTCCATCTTATCTTATTAATACATTCCTATAATCTAGGAAAATTATTATCTGTTCCGGCGTAATCACGCCTACTCTTACGACAATACACAGTCGGCGGGTTGGACTTTCCCACACGGGACACCGCTTATAGTCCCTTACGACGGACTGAATG